AGTTAAATGCTACATGTAGACATTAAAGTAGAAGGAAATTTTTTTTAAATTTTATAAAACTTAAAAACTGCATTGAATATTATATAGAGTTATTGCGCTTTATAACCATAAAAGAAAATTTCATTAGCTAACAGGATACGACTTTTTCTTATTTAGCTAATCGGTTATGCTGGTGATATAAATTGTCATGAATACCCCAAAAGGATGTAGAGGAGAAATGTGTAGCTGTAGGAATGTCAGATAAGAAGACATATCAAGTCAGAATATTGCCATCTTCATATCAAGTCAGAATATTGTCGGTGAAGACGTGGATGTTTAGTTTCATTATTCCAAGAGATTGTAACTTTGTTTTACACATTTTTTTCTTTCAAATTTTGATAGAATCCGGTTTAGTTATTCATATTAAACCGGTTTGTGTTTTGATAGTTAACCGAGATTAATCCAATTCAATGGAAGGAGAACTTTTTCAACGTCAAAAAGATTACTATACCTTTTTTCAAATTTTGAAAGTTTCACAGGTTTAATATGTTGCCAATAATTTTCTTTCTAATCAAAAGGCTAATCAACTATCTTTTATGGTTGGTAATATCAACGCTAAAAAAATACTAAATCCATTTTTTCAAATTTTGAAAGTTTTACAGGTTTAGTAAGTTGTCAATAATTTTCAATTCTAATCAAAAGGCTCATCAACAATTCTAAGATTCTGGAAAAATAAGAAAACCGGATTTTCTCACAGCTATATCCGGTTTAAAATGCATCAAATTATTTGTTTACAATGCTATCTAACCAGTTTTAATTAGTTTGTTTTTAAATTGATTCATACTTATACTCAAACATATCAAATTGCACACATGATTTTCATAACTGGTTCCATAGCTATATAACCTGTTATTACCAATATACAACTCACTGCCTATTTTAACTCAACTTGCTACTAATTTCCGGTTATGTAGATATGTAACCAGTATTTACACAAGATCTTATCTGGATTTTGTTTTTGGAAACCAGATATCTTATCTTCACTGTCTTGGGCTACTCTTCCTCTCTCCTCGGTGAACCGGCAAGGTCTCATGGTGTGTGGACCTCCATGATGAGTCGGTGGTTTTGGTGTCTTGTCGGAATCCTTGGCTACTAGTTAGGCATCGATACTTAGGGTCTGTATCGGTTATGTAAGGGATGCAGTCATTGTCGCTACGACCTTGGGGATGGCAGTTCCTCGAGCTCTGTCTCCGCTCCTGTGTGGCCTTCTCTCACATATGTGTTGTTGGTGAAGACGTGTGTGGACTCCTCAGACTTGGAATGATGCAAGGTTGATATGCGGTGGCTAGGATTTTAGACAGTTGAGCGAGGAGATTTACCATACGACGGCGCGTTTGATTTAGACAGTTGAGCGAGGAGAAGAGAAGAGAGCGGAAGAGTCACTAGGGCACCGCCTCCTCCAAGCAGTGGTTCATGGTCAAAATTGGTGGACAGCCCAGTATGTTTCAGTTATGGATTATTGTTACTGTATTTCAGAAGAAAAATCAAAACATTTCATTGGAGATAAGTGAAGCAGATTTGGGAGCAGAGATGAAAAATTGAGAATAATAATTGATAAGGATAAAGTTTTTGAAGTTTGAGAAATGTCAATATAGCGTCAAGTAGAGTTTATAGTGTAATTACTGTACATGCCTATTAGCTATATTTAAGAAAGTGTCATATCTATCTACAGACCTAAGATTAGGGTTAGTAATATTGAATTTTTAACAGTACCATATCTATATAACTAATAAAACTTTTGCCTACGGTTCTGCAGCTAATTAGCTCTATATATGTTATGAATTTTCAATTTTTTTTCTTTTTTGGGACTATTTGATAACATGTTTATTACTCGTTTCATTTAACTCCGATCACTTACTCTCACCATTTAATTTATATTATCTGTTTCTGTATGTCATCAAATGGGTTTATGAGCACGATGTCCAAATTTCAGTTAATTATGTCTCCAATTCACAGTAAAGGCATGATGGTTTCAAAATTCTAGTTGAATCTCTCTTATATTCCTTATAATGATTTTTTTGCCATTTTTTTTAATTTCTGATGTTGGCATGTATGTTATGTCGCTTTAAAATTTGTTAAAAAATAAAAATTTTAGTGTATGTTTTCATTTAAGATGATTTAAAAACCTTAGTATGATTTGTAATTTTCACATCATCTTCACTGTGTGTTTGACTTGAATAGCATGTATAGGTTTAACAATTTGAGTATGATTCATAAATCCTCTATACTTTATTTTTAAGTGTAATATTAGAAAGCGGCATTCGTAGAGTCATATGTGGTTATATGCTACACAAGTCCAAATCATAATATGTTTATATCTATTATGTTTTTTTCAAAATATATATTTGTTTGGGTTAAACCCCTGTTCGGTAAAATTCATCATCTTCTTTCTTTCTTTCTACTTTGATCACTTATCATTTCCTTTTAAGTTTTTTGCTAGCTCCCCCTTACATCAAATGCGTTTCATGGTCACCGATGTACAAACTCCAATTGGATCATTTTATTGTTGTTGCAAAGAATACATTTTTATTGTCAGAAGAGTTTTCTTCCTAAAATTCTCATGATATTGTTCCTTTCTGTTTTCTTTGTGACTTTATAGTTGTTTACATATAATATTATATTCATTTAATTTTGGATATTTGTAATAAAAAATTTGAAGCACAAAAAATGGTAACAATTTGAAGACAAAACTATACAACAACAGGTCTTCTCCATAAGTTACATATTTTAATATTAGATAAACATCTACCTCCAAGATCATTAGATCACATATATTTCATTCTTCGCTTCTCCTCACTGGGAAATAGTGAGGAAAATCAATATAAAATCCACACTAAATTGTAAATTTCTGGCATCCAAGTTTTAAAAAAACCATAACTCCAGTTTACCTAAAATAGAGAGAAGAGTAATAGATATAAGGAACAGTATATGTTTCATATTTGTATTACTGTAAAAGTAATAAGCAATTAGGGATAACAGCTAATATTTTATTAGATCAGAGTGTATACAATATTTCTACTAACTTTCAAATAATATTTTGGTACTTGAAAGGATAGTTTATACTATGGGTATGTCCAACAAAGAAAAAGAAGACTGTATACATTTTTTACCAAGAGAAAACATTCTTCTCGTCCTCTTTCGTACTCCTAACTAATCTCCCGTTTGTGGACAACATTATCACTCTCGACTCAGAACGTTACACCCAAAACCACCAGAGAAAGTAAATTGCCTGTCAAAGTAATTTGTGGACAAATGATTAGTTGTTAAAAAAGAGAAGATCAAAAAGAGCTTCATCACCTCACAAATGATTTGTTCATGGTTTGTGTCACGTCATCATCCATACTCTGGAATATATCACTGAAAAACTTGCTCATATATATTTGCATGTCCATCTAGTTTTTCTATCCTTATCTTGCACTTTCAAAAATGATAATTAAAAATAGTATAAAGTAAAGCAAATTCTCTAGAGCTAAAAGAGGAACGTGTTTCTTCACTTTAGCTTCCAGCTTGTCCCAGTCTTCTCCCAACCACTCATTGTGACACATAAATTAATGAATAAAAATTAAAATATCTTTAAAAATACTAAAACAGTAAAATAACATCAATTTTAACAACAGTAACACTACTAACTAAACCCTAAATCTAAATTTTAACTCTCTATCTAAACCTTAAACTCTACATCTTAAACCCAAATTAAACCCTATACTCTAAAACCCAAACCTAGACCCTAAACCCGAATCCTTTACCCTAAATCCAAAGCCTATACCTTAAAACCTAGACTCTAAACCAAACTATGTATCCTAAATCTAAATCCTAGACCCTAAACTCTAAACCCTAAATCCTAGACCCTAAATCCTAAACTCAAATGTTAGATTCTGAATTTAAATCCTATACCATAATACCCAAACCCTATACCTTAAATTCAAAGCTAAACTATAAATCATAAACCCAAATGTTGTATCCTAAATGTTTGGATTAATGTCGATATTATTCTTTTAGAGTTTAAGGTTAGGATTGAAAGTTTGAATTTAGAATTTACGGTTTGGGTTCATGATTTATGGTCTAGAGCTTGGATTAACTCTAGGGTTTGAATTCAAGGTCTAAAGTTTTAGTTTAGAATTTAGGGTCTAAAGTTTAGAGTTTCAAATTTAGGGTATAGGGTTTGGGTTAAGGGTATAGAGTTTGGGTCTAGGGTATAGGTTTTAAGGTATATGGTTTAGATTTAGAGTATAAGGTATAGATTTTGGGTTTAGGATATATAATTTCATTTAGGGTTATAGTTTAGATTTAGAGTTTAGGTAGCGGCGTTAGCGGCTTTAAAATTGACGGTATTTTTATATATTGTAGCTATTTTGATTTTTTTTACAAATATTTAATAATTTTCATTCATTAATTTATGTGGCATAATGAATAGTTATTAGAGATGAGGTGAATTTAAAAGTTCTCCCTAAAGAGTGAACCAATGTTCCTTGTTCCTTGTAAATGGTAAAATAATTTGGGTATGAAGTGGAACATATTATTCCTTTCCTCAACTATAGTCACCAGTTGGACCCTTGTTGTTTGATAACAATAACGTAACGCATTATGTCTGCATGCCCCTGCATGAATATATTATGTATGTAGAATATAATTCAAACGTGCATAAGCAATTCACTACTGCATATAACATTAACCGGATGATTAGGTTTTGATTTGACATAATTGAACTCATGAAACTATTTAATTAAAGTTATTCGACTCAGCTTAAACCAAGGACTCGGTCAATTTCTCAAAGCTTAAAAAAGGCTCAGATCTTAAAACTCGCTTTCATCTTCTTTCTCCATTTAAGTTTGCGATTCTCCTGTTTCTTCTTTTCTTCCTCCACAAACAAAAAAACATAGAATAAAAGAGACTAGCTAGAAAAAGTTGAAGATCGTTTTACATAAGAAACAACAGCCATTGAAGCTGTGATAGGAATAAAAATGGAGAGTTACTTGAACCAGAATTTTGACGTTAAGGCCAAACATTCGTCGGAGGAAGTGCTTGAAAAATGGCGGAATCTCTGTGGTGTCGTAAAAAACCCGAAACGTCGATTTCGCTTCACGGCAAATCTGTCCAAGCGTTACGAAGCTGCCGCAATGCGCAAGACCAATCAGGTGCTTCTTCTTGTATCTTTTTCTTTTACGACTTATTCTTAGAAACATTTCGGTTGCAATCTCCAGAATGAATCGTCTACTAGGGCTGTGTTCCCTTTTGTTGTTGCAAACAGGGCCGGTCCAACTTTTAGAAAAAGTGTGTAATGCCCTATTCTAAAATAAAAATTTATGTCCTTATTCTATATATAACCTTTTTTATGATGTCCTATATATACAATGAAAATTTTGCAAAAAGTCGAGATGCCCTAAGCGGTTCCTTTGCTAGTGCCCCGGACGGAGTCTAGTTGCAAACTTTATCAAACTCATACTTGTATTACATATAAATTTTAATATGAAAGTCTGTTACAAAAAATATCACCAGATATAGATTGAAACAGTATTTTGAGATATTAATGAAACATTTGTATAATAAAATAAATATTATTGATAAAAAATTATAAATTAGTTAACTATATTGTATATATTAGGAAATAATGATGGTATAAATACATATGCCAACTTGTTTTGGTAAAATCATCCAATTTTTTTATTTATACATATGTGAATCTATATTTATATACCACATATATGTGTTATATATATTGTTACATAGTATTTGTAATTTCTTTATGTCTTTGCCCCAAAAAATCCCAAAAAATCCCAAAAAAACTCTTCTAATTCTTAAATTACAATGTAGTAGTATTAAGACACTTTTAATCCCTGAATACAAATGCTTTGAGAATATAGTAGCAACACCCGATTGTAGAAAATACGAACTTAGAGTACTATGATATACTCTCGAGATTTGGTTTAAAGAAAAAAAAAGAGATTTACTTAAAGAGAATACAAAAACTGGTAGGAGACTTGCTGCAAATTTTTTGTTTGGTAAAACTGGTGAGTTGAATTACTTTATATGCAAGGAGAAGTTTTGATGTACAAAGATAAGAATATTTCATGTATTTTTAAGGATAAGTTGATATGACCACCTAGCTGCCTTTCATAATCCTGCTACGACTTGTATAACATCTAACGTGTGATTTGAATCAATTTTGGATCTATATATAGGTTTCGGGTGTTTCTGGAACTTTTGATTTTCCCTCCTAATTTAATTATTTGAAACTTTCAAAATGCAGGAGAAATTGAAGATTGCAGTTCTCGTGTCAAAAGCTGCTTTCCAATTTATATCGGGTAAGTTAATTATTAGAAAGTTAATATTTTTTTTATTCTTTTGTATTTGTATAAATTGTTACTTTTGTTCTGATTTTGAAATGATTTGGTCAGGAGTTTCGCCAAGTGACTACACTGTGCCTGAAGAGGTTAAAGCTGCAGGCTACGACATTTGCGCAGATGAGTTAGGATCAATAGTGGAAAGTCATGATGTGAAGAAGCTCAAGTTTCATGGTGGAGTTGATGGACTTTCAGGGAAGCTCAAGGCATGTCCTAATGCTGGTCTCTCAAGTGAACCTGATCAGTTAAGCCAAAGGCAAGAGCTTTTCGGAATCAACAAGTTTGCAGAAAGCGAGTTGAAGAGTTTCTGGATATTTGTTTGGGAAGCACTTCATGACATGACACTTATGATTCTAGGTGTTTGCGCTTTCTTCTCTTTGATAGTTGGAATTGCAACTGAAGGATGGCCTCAAGGGTCACATGATGGCCTTGGCATTGTTGCTAGTATCCTTTTGGTTGTGTTTGTCACAGCAACTAGTGACTACAGACAGTCTTTGCAATTCAGGGATTTGGACAAAGAAAAGAAGAAGATCACAGTTCAGGTTACGCGAAGCGGGTTTAGACAGAAGATGTCTATATATGAGTTGCTTCCTGGTGACGTTGTTCATCTTGCTATTGGAGACCAGGTTCCTGCTGATGGTCTTTTTCTCTCTGGTTTCTCTGTTGTGATCGATGAATCGAGTTTGACTGGAGAGAGTGAGCCTGTCATGGTGAGCTCACAGAACCCTTTCCTTCTCTCTGGAACTAAAGTGCAAGATGGGTCTTGTAAGATGCTGGTTACAACAGTTGGTATGAGAACGCAATGGGGGAAACTAATGGCTACTCTTAGTGAAGGAGGTGATGATGAAACTCCATTGCAAGTGAAACTTAATGGAGTTGCAACTATCATTGGTAAAATAGGTCTCTTCTTCGCGGTTGTCACGTTTGCGGTTTTGGTGCAAGGAATGTTTATGAGGAAGCTTTCATTGAGCACTCACTGGAGGTGGTCAGGAGATGAAGCATTAGAGCTTCTTGAATACTTTGCTATTGCTGTGACAATTGTCGTCGTTGCGGTTCCTGAAGGTTTGCCTTTAGCTGTGACTCTTAGCCTCGCATTTGCGATGAAGAAAATGATGAATGATAAAGCCCTTGTTAGACACTTAGCAGCTTGTGAGACAATGGGATCTGCAACTACCATTTGCAGTGACAAGACTGGTACCTTAACAACCAATCACATGACCGTTGTGAAGTCTTGCATTTGTATGAATGTTCAAGATGTAGCAAGCAAAGCCTCAAGCTTACAGTCTGACATCCCTGAGGCTGCTTTGAAACTACTTCAACAGTCGATTTTTAACAACACCGGAGGCGAAGTTGTTGTGAACAAACATGGAAAGACAGAGATATTGGGGACACCAACAGAGACTGCTATATTGGAGTTTGGACTATCTCTTGGAGGTAAGTTCCAAGAAGAGAGACAATCCTACAAAGTTATCAAAGTTGAGCCGTTTAACTCCACAAAGAAGAGAATGGGAGTAGTCATTGAGCTACCTGAAGGAGGACGCATTCGAGCTCATACTAAAGGAGCCTCTGAAATTGTCTTAGCTGCTTGCCAAAATGTTATCAACTCAAGTGGTGAGGTTGTTCCTCTTGATGAAGAATCCATCAAGTACTTGAATGTTACAATCAATGAGTTTGCCAATGAAGCTCTTCGCACTCTTTGCCTTGCTTATATGGATATCGAAAATGGGTTTTCTGCTGATGAAGGTATCCCAGCTTCAGGGTTTACTTGCATAGGAATCGTTGGCATTAAAGATCCTGTTCGTCCTGGAGTCAGAGAGTCAGTGGAACTTTGTCGCCGTGCTGGTATTATGGTGAGAATGGTTACAGGAGATAACATCAACACTGCAAAAGCTATTGCTAGAGAATGTGGAATCCTCACTGATGATGGTATAGCCATAGAAGGTCCTGTGTTCAGAGAGAAAAATCAAGAAGAGTTACTTGAACTCATTCCCAAGATTCAGGTCTTCAATCATTTCTTGATTTAGATTTTTTTTTTTCTTGAAATAGTGAAGTCTTAAAACAAGAACTCTCTTTACAGGTGATGGCTCGTTCTTCTCCCATGGACAAACATACACTTGTGAAGCAGTTAAGGACTACTTTTGATGAAGTTGTTGCTGTAACTGGTGACGGGACAAACGATGCACCAGCACTCCATGAGGCTGACATAGGATTAGCAATGGGCATTGCCGGAACAGAGGTGATTAATTCTAAATTGTTAAAAAAGAGGCTCAAAACTTCTTCTAAAACTCTCTTTTTTTTTTTTTGCAATGACCTTAGGTGGCGAAAGAGAGCGCGGATGTCATCATTCTCGACGATAATTTCAGTACAATTGTGACGGTGGCGAAATGGGGACGTTCGGTTTACATTAACATTCAGAAGTTTGTGCAGTTTCAACTAACAGTCAATGTTGTTGCCCTCATTGTTAACTTCTCTTCAGCTTGCTTGACCGGTGAGTTTAAACACAAGCTGTTTTTCAGTTATGTTAAATGTTTTTTTTTTACACTGTTTCTGCATCTTATACAGGAAGCGCTCCTCTAACTGCTGTTCAACTGCTTTGGGTCAACATGATAATGGACACACTTGGAGCTCTTGCTCTAGCTACAGAGCCACCAAACAATGAGCTGATGAAACGTATGCCAGTTGGAAGGAAAGGGAATTTCATTACAAACGCAATGTGGCGGAACATCTTAGGACAAGCTGTGTATCAATTCATTATCATATGGCTTCTACAGGCCAAAGGGAAGTGGCTGTTCGGTCTTGCTGGTTCTGATTCTACTCTTGTGTTGAACACACTTATCTTCAACTGTTTTGTCTTTTGTCAGGTAAACAAAAACATAAATATATATATACTCAAAACACTCATAAGTGGTATGATGATTACTTGGGGTATGTTATTAATGTTCAGGTATTCAATGAGATAAGCTCGCGGGAGATGGAAGAGATCGATGTATTCAAAGGCATACTTGATAACTATGTGTTCGTGGTTGTTATTGGTATAACTGTTTTCTTTCAGATCATAATCATTGAGTTCCTGGGAACATTTGCAAGCACCACACCTCTCACATTCATCCAGTGGTTCTTCAGCATATTCGTCGGCTTCTTAGGGATGCCGATCGCTGCTGGATTGAAGAAAATAACAGTGTAATGCTGCTAAAACTATTACTCTTATAGAACATAAGTTCCTTTTGACACAAAGCAAATATTTGGTCTTTTTATGCAATTTTTTTTTTCAATTACTGAATAAGGTTATTTATCTACCAACAGTTTTCAGTTTTTGTGATTCAACCCCATATAAGCATCCAAAAAACCATTGGTTGAAGCTTTCTCTGTCTCATCTTCTGCATTTTCCGATGACACAACAACACATTTTTTTTCTGCCAAAAAAGAAAAAAAAAGAAAAGAAAAGAAGTGTGTTACAAAAAAAAAAAAACAAAAAAAAAAGAAAAGAAAAGAAAAGAAAAGAAGTTGAACTCATACATTTGCAGTTAAAATCCACCAAGTTATTGATAAAACTTCATTTCGATTTCTTCTTTCGTGAATTTACAATATAGTGCAGCTAATACTGCAGCATCAACCACCAAACTGAAGAGAATCCGTAAAACATATCTCTATTATCATAAAAAAAAGGAGAAGATATATCATTAGCAAGAACTAAAACATCTTTAATCAGAGTAGGGTTTACAACTTCTACCTTTTGTTGCATGGAGAAGAGATTCAGATGCTTTTTAAAGGGTATTACTAGACCTATGATTCTGATCAGAGAACTTGGCAACGAAGTAATGAAAGTAGTATCCTTTTAAAAGCATCTGAATTATCTAGAGAGTTTGCTTCTGTGTATACCTTTGCTGCAGATTAGTTTAGGCGCCTCTCCGATGAAGCTGTACGTAGGTCCGGTGCGGTTTTGGTGCGGTTTCGAGGGCTGGTGACGGAGTGGAAGTACCGTTAGTAACGTTGAATTCTGAAAATACCCGTTAGCTTAGCCTTCTTAGGTCTGTTGAATTCTTAAAAAGTGCCCAGAAATAAGGATTCAAGAGTTTGTTAAAACCAAAGCTCTAAGTATAATAAATCAATAATCAAAAGTTGTGTCTCCTACAAATCAAGAGATCACAATATATAGGGACATAAATTCCTAAAAACCAATCATAAAAAGGAAACTAAACTTATCTAGAAAAGGAATGCAAAATCAATATGAAAAAGAAAAAACAAAAAAACCAAAGTTTAATAGGATAACGATGTATGCTGCATCAGGTCCCCTCCCGTACGAGAGATTCGTCCACGAATCCGGAAATCACGTCGTCATCTGGTTCGTATTTGAAGAGATGTTTAACGTTAAACACATCAGCTGTATGCACGTGAGAAGGAAGAAGAAGCCGAAAAGCGTTGGCATTAATCTTCTCAACAATCTGAACGGGTCCAATCTTCCTCGGTTTGAGTTTATTATACTGACCAGTCGGAAACCGTTCCTTGATTAAAACAGCCACACGACGCTGTTTATCCACTTGACGTTTATACTTAATTGTAGTACCGGCCAAGTTGTCTTGAGCGAGCATGTGAACATCTGTGATCTCATTAATAAGCTCCACCGCTCTCCCATGAAACTCACAGGGTTGAGGAGGAGCATATAACACCAACGGACCACGAGGAACCACACGGTAGACCACCTTGAATGGACTGAAAGCAAGACTTCTATTATTAGCATGGTTATGAGCAAACTCTGCTTGACACAGAAGAGTCCCATGAACGTAAGTTATCGCCAACAAGGCAGCACAACATATTTCCCAAGCTGCGGTTAACGACCTCCATTTGTCCATCTGTTTGAGGATGATACGCGGAGCTCATCTTTAAGCTAGTACGCAGCAGCTTCCAAAGAGAACGCCAGAAGTGGCCAATAAACCGTGAGTCTCTGTTGGATACGATAGACGTCGGTAATCCATGTAATCGGTAAATTTCCCAAAAGAAAAATATGGCGACTTGCACGGCATCTGTAGTCTTTTTTACACGGGATAAAGTGAACCGTCTTGGAAAAATGATCAACAACAACAAAAATGAAGTCATTGCCACGTTGTGTTCGAGGAAGTCCTAAGACAAAATCCATACTGATGTCACTCCAAGGCTGGGTAGGAATAGGTAATGGGAGGTACAAACCCGCATTGGACGCATGACCCTTACTCCGTTGACAAGTGGTGAAGCGAGCTACGAACCTCTCGACATCACGCCGCAGGGTAGGCCAAAAATATGAGTCTGTAACTAACTTGAGTGTCCTGTCGCGGCCGACATGTCCTTCTTGGTGCAACTCCAAGATAATCTGTAAACGAAGGCTACACTCGGGGACACACAATCGGTTGTCGCGAAACAGAAAACCATCGACAACGGAATAGTCTGAATGAATCCCGTGCGACACATCCAACCATATAGACGCAAAGAAAGGATCCGTAGGATACAAGTCAGCAAAGCATTCAAATCCCGTGACACTGACCCATAAGGTCGAGACCAAAGCATAACGATGACTCAACGCATCTGCCACCTTATTTAACTTCCCCGACTGATGTTTAATAACAAATGTGAACTGTTGTAAATAAGCGATCCATGAAGCATGACGAGAAGAGATCTTGTCCTGTGTACTCAAATATTTTAAGGCCACGTGATCAGTAAAAAGTATGAACTCTTTATGAGCAAGATACTGACGCCAATGTTTGATCGCCTTGACGATTGCATAAAACTCGATGTCTTACATTCTGTACCGAGACCGCACGCCAGCCATCTTCTCGCTATAAAATGCTGTAGGGCGACCTTGCTGACTTAAGATCACACCGATACCCAGCTTGCTTGCGTCACAATGTAGTTCAAAAGGCTGATCGAAATCGGGAAGTATCAAAATAGGTGCTGTCGTGAGCTTGTTTTTGACAAGCTCGAACGCTTCTGAGGCCTCATGTGACCACACGAAAGATACATTCTTCATGCAATCAGTAATGGGAGCCATTATAGCGCTAAAGTTATGAACAAAGCGCCGGTAGAAGGATGCCAAACCGTGAAAACTCCGTACTTCTGAAATTTTTGTTGGCGTAGGCCATGAAGCAATTGCGGCCACCTTCTGAGGATCCACCCGCAACCCTGTAGCTGAGACCCCCAAAAACAGAACCTCTGAGACACCAACTCGCATTTATGTTTGGCCACGAAAAGTTTCTCGCGGCGTAGAGCAACCATGACCTCCCGTAAGTGACTGAGATGTTCTTGAATATTTGAGCTGAAGATGAGAATATCGTCAAAATAAACAATGACAAATTTGCCGATGAACGGACGTAAAGCTTGATTCATGACGCGCATAAAAGTGCTGGGGGCGTTCGACAACCCAAATGGCATGACCACTCATTCAAATAATCCTTCCCGCGTCTTAAACGCAGTTTTCCACTCATCTCAAGGACGAATCCGAATCTGATGATAACCACTTTTAAGATCAAGCTTAGTGAATACGGATGCCTTACCAATTTGGTCCAAGAGGTCATCTAGGCGAGGTATTGGAAATCGGTAACGGGTCGTGATTTTATTTATTGCTCGGCTATCAACGCACATTCGCCAAGTTTTATCTTTCTTCGGGATGAGAAGGGCCGATACTGCACATGGACTAAGGCTTTTCCGCACATATCCCTTGAGTAAAAGTTCCTCAACCTGACGCCTCAATTCTTCATGTTCTTCGGGACTCATTCTATAATGAGCGCGGTTTGGTAAATTAGCGTTAGGGACAAGATCAATGTGATGTTGTATATGATCACAGAGAGGAACGAGTCCTGCAGGTAGCTCATCCGGAAATAGATCATGAAATTTGTTGATAACTGAAGTAAACGCGATGGGAATGCTCGTACTCTTCTCTGGTTTTGTATCGACCGAGATGAGGGCAAAAAGCGGACCAGATTCACGCAGCTCATCTTCAAACTGAGACTTGGAAATGATCAAGAGACTTTGATTTGTCGTGCTTTTTTGCTGAGGACGAACACGGTATGGTTCAGGTGATGGAAGTAACGTGATTCTCTTTCCTTGAAACATGAATGAATGTGTATTCAGTTTGCCATTGTGCATGACTTCTCTATCATACTGCCAAGGACGGCCTAATATGATATGGGACACATCCATGGGAGCGATGTCGCAGTAAAACGTGTCAGTGTAGAGTGAACCGATAGACAAGGAAAGGAGAGTCCGGTGAGAAACATGGACCTCTGCGCCTGTCTGCATTCAGAGGAGCCGATACGGATGAGGGTGAGACTCGGTGGTTAGTGAAAGCTTGCGAACTGCTTCCTCGAAAACTACATTAGCAGCCAGAATCGATCCGAACCGACAAACTTTTTCTTTAACCGTGCATGTAGAACTGAATAGGGATGTACACTGTCCATCTTCAGTTGCCTTAGGAGCTAAGTAATTGCGACGAAGCATTAAGAACGTTCCCGTGTCACCACTTACTTGTTCTTCTTCTACTTCGTCATCGTCAACCTCATCATAGATAGGATCACCCACGATATCTTTATCACTTGCGAGAAGCCCCCGTCGTTCGAGTGAACAAGCTGTTTGTAAATGTCCACGCTCGCCACAAGTGAAACATCAGAGAGCATTAGGTCGTGAAGGCCGTGGTTCTGTTGCTGTCGTCACAGATTCCCCGGTGCGGTTGTTGTTACGTGATCCCGTTGAAGTTGTCGCAGAGTCTTGTGGTGTAGATGATTTATTATCGTCAGTGACTGCTGTGGAGCGAGGACGAGAATTTCCAGACCATTGGGTAGTACCAAAACGTGTTTGTTGTTCAACGAGTAGCGCCAGTTGTCGAGCCTCTGAGACCGAGCAAGGATCAAACTGTTGAAGCATGTTCTGGAGTTGCGGACGTAAACCTTCTATAAAACGAGCTACTAATTGATCTTCAGAGTCATGAATATCTATTCGCGTGAGCATCTGATAGAACTCGTTAGCATATTCCTCAACGGAACGTGATCCTTGGCGTATATTGTGGAACTTCTGAAACAATAAGCGCTCATAGTTGTATGGGATAAAGGATTTCCTCATATGTTTCTTGAGCTTGTCCCATGAGGTTATCATGTCTTTCCCCCGACGACTTCGGGAAAGCTTGAGTTGACTCCACCATGCTGCGGCGTGTCCGCGAAAATG